CCCCGCAGGGCCGGCTCCAGGCACCAGCCCACCAAGTTTGTGCTTGGGGCGGCACCTGGAGGGGGGCGGCGCGGTGCTCCGGCTGCCGGGGAGAGCGGAGCCCTGGCCGGGGCTCGCCACCCTCCCCCCCGCCTTCCCCTGGCTCGGGTAGGGCGACTGGCATGGCTGGGGCAGCCGCCGGAGGTGGGAGTGGGGGGGCCTGAGGGCTCTGCTGAGGGGAGACAGAAAGGGGCCTCATGAGGAAGGGGTGGGGCCAGGGGCTAGCCATCCCTAAGGGAGTGTCCACCAGCAGTCCATGCTTAAACAGAAACTGAGTTTTAATCTGATTAACTGTCATCTTTCTGAGGGTGCAGAAGGCCTTAAACATTAGCTCTGATGGACTGACCCCATTCATCAAGGGGGTGTTTGCTCTGAAACCTACAGATGACAACATACATGCCCATATTGTCAACAATTTCACTGCTGAGTATTTTAGCAGGAAAAAAACCCATGAAATGTGCTTCCTCTAATCCCAGACTGTATCATCAGATGTAGAATTTAATATAAAAATAAAACATTGTGGCTAATATCCTGATTGCCTTATTCATCTTCTTGGATTTTTTTCCCCATTAAAACCTCCATCTAAATGAAATTACTGTGGAATCCCATAGCAGTGTCCCACAATGCAGGGACCTTCCTCCAGTTTGGCTCAGAGAACACAGGGTCTTGATTATACTCTGCTTTCTAATGTCTCCTTCTCTCTGCTATTCACCTCTGCAAAGCATGTTGGGATAGAGTGCATGAGAGATGTTATACAGACTGAAATGTTGTTGCCCTTAGCTAGCTCTCTTGACTTCCAGCCATTTCTGAGAAATGCCTGAGCTCTGATGGTCAAACCAATATTTTGGGAATGTGCCACCGAAAATGTTGAAGCCATCGATACTCCCTCATGTGGTTTTGAGCCCTTTAGAATAGTAAGAGGAAAAATGATGAACAGCAAAAACTACAACATATTGCACAAAGGTGAAAATAATACCACACCTTTAATTTGTCCCTGATGCATAAAACTTGGTACTCCAATTCCTCCAATTGGGTTTGCCCTGGATTCTGTGACTTCAGCAAATTTAACACTTCTTGAAGGAGTTTCTCAACTGCTTTGGCGCTTCCGGCTGGTTTTCTGTCATCTTCAGTGTTCCAGCTTTTCCGATCAACAGACAGGACATTTTCTTGTTCCACAGACTGGTGACTCCAGTGCTGGCCGATGGAATCTCTGCCATCTTTGCTAATGTCCCGTGGGCTGGATGGGCTATTTGGAACTCCATCCATGGAGGGTGTCTCTTTCAGGATATCTAGAGTTGTGTGGTTTGGAGACTTGTGTTGTCTTCCTTCTGCACAGGTGTCCTGTACAAGAACCAATGGCAGGGTCCTGTGGTCTGAAGCTGGAGTCACATTTCTAGTTTCTGTTCCTTTCCGATCCTGGGAGCTGAATGAGTCAGTCTCTGCAGAGCTGTGGTTGTCATTCCTTAGATGTACATCGAAGTCACAGTCAGCCAAGTAGCTCAGTATGCAGGGGGCTCGCGCCTCATCGTTTATGCCACCTTGGTTCATTCGTTGCTGCAAAACAGACTGCAGCAAACAGGTTCAAGTGTAAGTACAAGTACTTGATACAGATGAGATTTATCTAGAGATGGAGAGCCCAGGAAAGACCCTCAGCCCCACATTGCCTCTCTGGAGAGTTTCAGGATGACAGACACAGCTATAATGGCCAAACAGAAAAAACCTCTGAGCCCCATGCAGACCAGAGCAGGAGGACCTGTTGGGGGAAGCCATGCGTGGGCCCAATATTTACATTGATCCAGTAGCCCAAGAGCCTCAGGGAAGAGCAGAAGACAAGCAGAGAATACTCCACATTTAAAGAACTTTAAACTGAATAGTAAAAAAAACAGTCTAAGATGCCACTGCCTGTCACATTTTTCATTCCAAAGGGACCCTAACAAATCGGTTCTAACCCCCCTTCAGCCCAATTACAATATGATATTAAATTGGCTGGAAAACGTTTTCATGATTAGTTATTAATAAATACAGCACACTCATTAAATAACTAGACAGCCCCATAACGCCGCTGTTTGCAGAAGACCTATCTACAAGCAATGTTTTGTACTCCCTCTGCTGGCTTGGCAGGAGCACACAAACCTGACTGCCAGGCTGATATGGGAACTTGTCTTGAGGTTAGGGGCGTATACGCACACATGCCTCTGCTACCTATTGCCTGTGCTATGAAGAGGCAGGAGCACACAGAACGAAGCAGCAACATTAAGTGAAAACCCCATTAGAAACACAGGAGATTGTCTGGTCCAACTAAACTGCACTTGGCACTAGACAGGGGACGGGGGGAGAGAAGGGGATGCTTTACACTCCACCTTTAAGCCACCACTATGGTTCACTGCTCCTGGGATTGGCCAGTTCCCAGTGTAGACTGCTCTAATTTATGCCTGGCTGCACATGGGGAATATTTGGCAGGGAAAAAATTTTTGCATTTCAAGATTCTAAAATGGGATTGAAAACAACAGGGGTTAAATTAAAAAAATAAAACACCCCATAATGATCACCATACCGCCCTGTGACTGTGGGCTGTCCAATTCTATTCGGCAACAATCTGATGTCCCAGCCCCAGCTCACTGTTTGGGCCCAGTGTTTTACTTCCCCCATCATACTTACGAGATAATATTTCTCTCTGAAGCTAGGAGTGTTTGGCGGAGTCCAGTTGTATAAGGAGCTTTTCCTACTACCCAGAGAAAACTTGGCAGAAGTTCCAGGCGACAAAAACAGGTTCTCTGTGTCAAATGGGCTATGGGCAGGGAATACAAAGGTGTAAGTGTTATCAAAGGCCAGGAAGCATTTAGATGTTTAGCAACAGGAACAGCTATTGGGATTTGAGCCCCATAGCATCATTCTGGTCCCTGAAGTTTATTAAATAATACTCAGCTCTGGGATAAAAGAAGAGGGAGACGGGCAGCCCCTCTGACTTATTCCCTTGACACCTGAGCCGCAAGAGGGAGATAGTGGGGCATCATCCTTTTGCATAGAGAGAAGTACTAAATAACCTCATCCTTCAGGTATGGAGATCACAGCAGAGCCTAATCAATGCAGAGCATTCTGAGCTGGCTTCTCTCCCAGAATCAGATCAGAGTCTGATGAAAGCTCCCTCTCTTTCTGTGGGGTCTTATATCCCACACAGTAGTTCCCCAGCCATGGCCCATGAACAGCAGGGTGCTTGCAGGTGGCCAGTAGAATGGTATATTGGCCGCCTGGTGCTCCAGAAATGCACGGGGGAGATTAAATGAAGAATAAAAGGAGTGTGTAACTAACTTTTTCCACAAAGGACAAAACACTATCACTTGAAAAGCCAGTAAAAAGGTATGAAATACAGTCTTGATCCTACATACACTTATACACAATTGATGTAGTTGCCACAGGGATGTTATGTCATTGTGCACAGCAGGAGATGCGGTCCATGCAATTGTGGCTGGGAAGGGAGCTTCCACACCTCTATCCCTGTAAGATGCTGTCCGTGCTGTAAAGAGCCCAACAACCCTTATTCTAAGCACTTGCCAATTGTCCTCAACGCTCCAGAGAAGGTCACTACTCTTCCCATTTCCAACAGATGCATGTGCTGGGACCTCTTTCCTCAGAGAAGCACACTAAGGTAAAGCTGGGTAAACCTTCACCCACAATGCACTCCAACATGAAGAAAGAGAGGTAAATTCATGGACTCCCCCCTCCTTGATAGTGCTAGGGCATTTTTAATTAAATTAGTTCCCCTCTCATGTGTGCTTTTGTGCACGAGGGGAACATATCATTCATATTATCTCTGATCCCACAGGCCATATTTTAAATGAAGGCCAACCACAATGCTAAGGTGTCTGCACTCAACTGGAGCCCCTGGGAGTTCTGAAACGATCCAAATGATAGTGGGCACACATTAGTTACATGGAGACTTTTGCCCTCAATTCAAAGCCAAGTTCTATTTCCCTTTTATTGCAGGGGTGGAAGGCTGAATATAAACATTTCAGGCACAGACAGCAGTGTCCCTCATTGGAACATGCTGTTGTCATCCCACCATGGAAGTATCACTCTCAGATGTTGGCCTAATGCATGTCAATTAGCTAAATTAACCAGTGTCACACAGCTGGAGTTTGTCAAACAGGCCAGTTCCATGGAGTCAGATTAGCAGCCATCTGTGCTTTCTCACTTTGCAGCAAATTAACTAAATCGGGTATCTGACAGCAAGAGCACTTTATCCGGAGAACGTCATGGACTTACTGACAGAGGCAAATTGCTTTCATCTACAGCATTTTGTTCTTAGAAGGAGGATGGCTGGGGCTAGGGAATCCTTTTGTTTAAGATTTTCAGTTTTAGTTTTTAATACAGCAACAAAGCAGTAATAATAAAGAATACAGAGTAGAGATACAATAATACCAAGCTAAGGCCATTCTCCTCCTGTGATGATTGATATAATCCTATAGTAAAGAAAAAAGATTAAGGGTATGTTTACACTGCACATTAAGACCCGGCTGTGATTCTGGTTTGAGCCCAGCCCAGCCCCCCTTCGTCCACACACAAATCAGTCTGACTCAGGTTAGCAAGCACTCAGGTCCTAGGACTCTGCTAGGAGGTTAGGTCAGAGCCCAGATCCTGCTGTGACTTGGGTCCAAGCCCTGTCATACTGCAGTGTGGACACAGGTCAAGCTACAGACCTGAGTCAGAGGGTCTGCATAGCGCAGTAGGGACACATTAGCACGGCTGAGAGACCCAGGTCCAGTAAGTGTAAACCCAGCTTTACAATGCACTGTGGATTCTCAAGCACAGGCTTGGAAACACCAAGTCCATAAGGCTGGGTCGTACAGGCCCAGGTTTAATGTGCAGTGTAGACATATGCCCTTATGGAGTACATCTCAGGGTATCAGCCAGAAAACACAGTGAAGTACAGGGGTGAACTGATGACATGGCTCTTGTGAGTGAGTGAGACACAGACCGAGACCATGATGCTGCATGGGAGAGAATGAGAGCTGCTCAACTATGGACCAGACCCTATATTGCAAACAAGTCAGATTTTTTTCTTTAGCTCAAGTGGTAGGAGCCTGAGCTTTTAGAGCAGCAGGATCTGGGTCTTAGCCCTGCTGTTCCCATGTAGTACTGAGGCGCACAGAAACAGCCACAGCACTAAACTGTCCGAGTACCATTTGCAGGGGAAGCAGTGCTACATTTACATCTACTTGCCAAGGTCCAGAGTTGTCTTTGATCCCTGGTTCAGTCCAATTCGCTCTTTCCCAGCCATTTGCCATTAGGAACGTACCAAACGGCAGGTATTGTCAAACCAAAGGTTTTTGTCAGGGTTGTATTCCTCCCACATTCCCCCAGCGTTCACTCCATTCAAACAATGAGGCAGCCTAGGGGGGTGCACTCCAACAAACTTACAGCCATTATGGGAATCATCATGGGCCAGATGGTCCCATGATACCACAGTGAGGGGTGCAGCCTTGAGGGAGAATGTAGCCTCCCTTTGTGATTCTCTTTGCTGTTTAGTTTGGCCTGGTGACCAGGTCCCGTTCCCAAGCCAGCAGAGCATCTACGTCCTCTCCACCCCAATCATAGAATATCAGGGATGGAAGGGACCTCAGGAGGTCATCTAGTCCAACCCCCTGCTCAAAGCAGGACCAATCCCCAACTACAACATCCCAGCCAGGGCTTTGTCAAGCCTGACCTTAAAAACCTCTAAGGAAGGAGATTCCACCACCTCCCTAGGTAACCCATTCCAGTGCTTCACCAGTTTCACCCAAGCTTCCCTCCCTCCTCCCCTAAGCAAAGCTCTTAAAGGAGGCTATGCCACAGCTAGAGGTATGAGCACAGCGCAGGTAGGCATACCTGCACTAACTTTAATCTAGCTCGCATGGCTAAAAGTAGCAGTGAAGAGGAGGTGGTTCAAATCCTAGCTGGGGCTAACACTATGAGTTCAACATCAACCAAGAGTTCCGGGCGGGCTAGTACAACCTATCATGAAGCTCTTGATGATGCAGCTTCACTGTCATGTTTAGCCATGCTAGCTTGATTAAAACTAGCATAGGTATCAAGTATCAGAGGGGGTAGCCGTGTTAGTCTGGATCTGTAAAAAGCGACAAAGAGTCCTGGGGCACCTTAAAGACTAACAGAAGTATTGGAGCATAAGCTTTTGTGGGTGAATGCCCACTTCGTTGGATGCATGTAATGGAAATTTCCAGAGGCAAGTATAAATATGCAGGCAAGAATCAGTCTAGAGATAACAAGGTTAGTTCAATCAGGGAGGATGAGGCCCTCTTCTAGCAGTTGAGGTGTGAACACCAAGAGAGGAGAAATTGCTTTTGTAGTTGGCTAGCCATTCACAGTCTTTGTTTAATCCTGATCTGATGGTGTCAAATTTGCAAATGAACTGAAGTTCAGCAGTTTCTCTTTGGAGTCTGGTCCTGAAGTTG